AGCTTCCAGGCCGCTGCCAGGACCGGCCTCTCCCGATGGGAGCGGTGCCCAGCCCAGGGGAGGAGGCTGCCGGCTCCAGGAAGCCCTCCTGGACTGCCCTCTCACTCATCCCCGTGTTGTGCCCCACTTCCCGGCTACGAGCTCCGAGGCCTGGGCGGGGTCCTCATCATCTTGGCCATGTGCCCAGCCCGGATCCAGTCCGGGCACTCATTTGTGCTCCAGAGGATGTGGGATAGGCCGGGCCACACTGCAGTGTGCTTCCTGGGTGGCGGGGCCAGCCCTGCCTGTAGCAGCCTGTGGAAATGCCTGCCCTCCCCTGTCCCCCAGGGTGGAAGGAAGGAGCTTGGGCCGAAGTCCCGTGGAAGGGTGGGTGATGCCCGAGGCAGGGAGAGCCTCCCTCAGCCCAGGACCCACCCGGGAGACCCCCTGGGTTCAAGCTGTACAAAAGGCAGGCCTGGCACCTGAGGGAGAATTTGGGGCTACTATTGGCTGCCAGTGCCTCCCTGGGACCCCACTCCTATGCCCTGCCTCCTAAGGGTCATCTCTCAGTACCTGGTGGGTGGGGTTTTCCCAAGGGTAGAGCCTGGCCAGCGGCAGCTGGGAGAAGGTCCAGTCTGGCCTCCCTTCCTGCGTGGCCTCTGAGGACAAAGCTGTGGTTCGGTCACGGGGCTGGGGGCCTGTTCTAGAGCAGGGCCCCGCAGGGGTAGGGTGTGGGGGGTGTGACGTCCCCACACACACACGGCTTCACAACGGGTCTTCACGAGGCCACGTCACGGAATCGACTAACGTGAAGCTCTGCTGTGCGAACCCACCGACCACGCAGAAGACCAGAGCTAGGGGAGAGGAGCCTCGGGGATGGCTCGGTCCAGGTGCCCCACTGTCTCAGGAGGGGAGGCCGAGGCCCAGAGAGACCCGGTCAAGGTCCAGCACCAAGCAGGTGAGGGCGGACTGCTCTGAGGGACGGGATGGGCATGTTGGAGGGTCCCTGTTCCCTAAGAGGCTGAGATGGGCTGTAACTGGGCCCCGGGCAGATGGTGACGGCTGCCCTGGCGGTCTGCCGGGAGCGGGGCTGGAGGAGCTGAGGCCCCCTCAGTCCCTGAGCAGGGCAGGCAGGGCTAGATGGCATGCCACACCCCTCCTTACTCGGCCGCGGTCCTGCCGTTAGGCTGCGTCACCTAGTGTCTAACTGAACGCGTTTTTCTGTGACCCAAGCTCATAGTCACCAGGTGTGTGGAGGTGGGGGTGGTGGCTGCTGTGTTCACTTGCTGTCTTAGCCTAGTTACTCCAGGCTCAGTGGACACCCAGCCCCTACAAATGTGTGGCAGAGATGCCCGATAGTCAGTCACAGAGTCCTGGCATCAGACTTAGTTTCAAATCTTGGTTCTGCACTTACCACACGGCCTCAGGCCACATCCCTCCATCCCTGGGCCTTTCTCATGTGTGCCTGACTCAGTTTCCCCCACTGGGTCCATGTAGGGAGCGTGCTCTGCCTGCTCCCTGGCTCAGGGTCAAGCCCCTGGTGTGTGGCGGGGATGGAGGACACTCACCTGCAGAAGCTGTGCCCTCCTGACTCTCTCGTCCTTCCTGGCGGCCCCAAGAGAACACAGCAGCGTCTCGGCCCGGGGGCAGGTGGGACCTGCCAGGTGTGAAAGCACCAGAGATTCACGGCTCCAGCGGCGCCAGCGCCGACGCCCGTCCCAGACCCCCTCACCCCGCCCTCTTCCACCGTGGGCCCCGTCTCGGGCCACACCGTGGTCTGGCTGTCACCATGCTCCAGGAGGTCTTGGGATCCGGATCCCCGCACACCTGCAGCCGCGCCAGCTCCCCAGCCACCTCTGACCTTGCTTGTGTTGAGTGTTTCTCCATGAGCCTCTGCAAGGATGGGTGAGTGCGTGGGGGATGAACGGGGCAGCCTCACGGCCAGCGGGCCAGGCCGGGCAGGTCTCCAACCTCAGGGCTCCGTCTGTCCATCCCCGACACGGGCAACCCTTCTCTGACCCCTCCCTGCCCTCCAGAGAGGGCTGGACATGGCAGGGGTGAGGGAAGGCCCACGAGCGCCTCCAGCAGCAGGGCACGCTGCCCTGGGCAGGGAATGGGCACGCGTGGGAGCTCGGGCCACGGCCAGCTGACCTCCAGCTGGTGTTGGAAGAGCAGGCCGTCCAGGGCCTTCTCTGCCTCCCGGACCTCCACCTCTGCCCGCTGCTGCAGGCGGGCCAGCGCCTGCCCCTGCCTCTGCTGGTCCAGCTGCAGGGGTCCCAAGCCTCAGGGTTCTGGGGCCCAGCCAGCCCCCACGGCTCCCAGCAAACCCTCGGCACAGAGAGCAGGCAGTGCCACCTTCAAGACCTCCCGCCCTACGCTCGAAAGGACCCCACTCTTGGCAGGCCGTACCCTCCAGCCCCTCTACCTGCTCTGCACCCCCAGCCTCCCTCTTAGCCATGAAGGCTGGTGGCCCAGACCAGTATGACCGTGATGCTCCCCACCCCCCACCAGCCTCCCCCTGAAGAGCCACAGCCACCCAATAGAACGGGGGCAGGACACACCTTCAGTGACTGGAGGAAGCTCAGGGACTGCTGCTGGATGTCAGCGAGGCGCCCAGACCGCAGCCCACCAGGCTCCCGCTGACCTGCGCAGACCACGGAGAAGGGACCGCTGAGCGCCTGGGGCACCCGAGTGTCCCCTGCTCAGCCGCAGTGCTCCGGCCTGCAGGGAGACGGCACGTAGGGAGGAGCCCAGGAGGATGCCTGGGCCTGAGCCATCACCGAGCACACCCGTCCCGGGAGGAGGCGGCAGACGCGGCTCCCTCGCTGCACCGCCTCCACAGCTCACTCTGCCTGACCCCTGGCCACGCTGCCCCTGGAGCGATGACCCAGGCTGGCAGAGGTGATGGGACAGGAACACGAGCTCACGAGCTTTGCCGCCAGATGGACCCTGCTCGGCACGCATCCGCAGGGTGACCTGGAACAAATCGCTAGCGGATCAGAGCCTCCACGGGGAGACAGCGGTCCCACCTCCCGGCACGAGTGACCTAAGGCTTGCTCAGCAGGGTGGCTGCTGCTGTTCTGGACTAGTAATGGCTGTGCGGGTGGGCGTGTTAACACGAGGCGTGGTCCCCAGGGCTTAGTTCCAGACTGTGGGCACGAGACCCTCAGCCTCCCCTGGGGTTGCACAGTCCCCAAGTCAGCAGAGGGATCCTCTGCCCTTTGGTGACCCCCCAGGGCCCAGCTTGGCTCTGCATGCTGTTGGCTCCTAGCCCTGTGGGAGCTGCCTCTTGGGGCAACTCCATGGCTGGGGGTTGGCCAGCATGCTCCTTCCTTGATCTGCCCCCCATCTTGGCCTGGTTCCTGCTAAGAGCGGGCAGAGGTAGCCACGGGATGGTCCGCTCGCTCTGGGGCCCAGGCCCCGTCTGCAAAAGGCAGAGCCCTCCTGGTGACTCGGATGAGCTGTCAGTCACCACTGGCAAGTGTGCTGGCTGTGGCAACCCTCTGTTGTGCTCTGCTTCCCCGAGCCGAGCGAGTGGGCTCCCATGCTTAGAGCCGTGACGGAGCTGTGAGCGACAGCCACCCACTTCCCCGGCGTTTCCACGGCAGCCGAAAAACTCCATGGGGCGCCAGGCTTGGACGGGCAGCAAGGCTGTGGCCACCTGACGTGCACTGAGCATCCGAGGGGGCGCTGGTGGAGCCTCCCCTCCTCCCTGAGAGTGAAGACACTTTCAGGAATGGGCTTAAGATGTCTGTTCTGAGCCGAAGTTCCCTCGAGAAGGGGAAACTCTCATGCCTTTGTTTTGTGGCCTTGAGAGAGGCTGAAGCCAGAGAAAGTGCCCAGTAGCCACCAAGCCCGCCAGCCTGGGCTCCCGCCAACCCTCTTCCAGGCACCTGACAGCTCCAGAGGCCCGAGGCCCGAGCCCTCCACCTGAAGAGAGGGACTTCCTGGCCAGCTCCGACACTCCAGCATCCCTGACAGGTCAGTAGGGAGACACGGGCTGCATGCCCCTGAGCTGTCCCTGAGATGAGCTGCCAACCACCTGCCAGTCCCCGGAGCCTGCCGGAGCGACCCACTGAGCCCCCGGAGCCTGCCGGAGCGACCCCACTGAGCCCCCGGAGCCTGCCGGAGCGACCCCACTGAGCCCCCGGAGCCTGCCGGACCGACCCCTCTGAGCCCCCGGAGCCTGCTGGAGCGACCCTACTGAGCAGAGAATGACACTGGTCTCTCTCCTCAAGTGCTCCGATGACAACTGGCAAGGAGCCCCAAGACCCCGGCACCATGCGTCACCCCAAAGTGCCTGGTGGCTGGGGATCTGACAAGACAATTTCATAAATGCTATTACTTTGTCCTATGGGTGGCCCCAGCTGAGACGTTTGCTCGAGTCCAAAAAGCTCTCTCGGACAGTAGTGCCTGATGTTCAAATCTAGAAAGTTCTATCAGACCACGCTGCTTCCATCCATAAAAGTGAGAGCTGACGGGCTCAGGGCTGAGTTCGAATCCCCGCTCTCCCAGTTACTGGCTGGGGAGGAGGGTGCCCCTCTGAGCATCAGAGTGCTCCTCCGTAAACATGGACATGAGGACAGGACCTGTCCCCGAGGCACAGCAAGACCAACGGGACACCATGTGACACAGGTGCCTGGCCTGGCGCACTCAGTTCATTCATGCCTTTAGCGAATATTCCCCAGGCGCCCCTCACGTGGCGGGCACTCCCCCAGGCACCGGGGCTGAAATGGGAGCCAGACCCCTCACGCCCTCGTGGCCCATGGAGACGGAAGCACAAACACGGGTTTGACGCCTGCAAAGCAGAATACAACAGGGTGAGTGCCAGCACCTGACCTAGCCTGAGAGTTATCTGGGAGGCTTCCTGGAGGAGGTGTCTGACCTAAGCCCAGTGCAGGCACTTTGTGTTGTGCTCACAGCTTGGCTGCCTGAGATCCAGCTCTCAGCCAGGCAGAAGCAGCCCAGATATCAAACAACTTTTGGGGGCTGCCTGTGGCCTCAAGAATTCCAGTCTGCACAGAGAGCTGGGCCCTGCCCTGCCCTGCCCTGCCCTGCCGAGGGGAGCGGCAGGGCAGTGGGGGCTCAGGAGGGACAGAGAGCTCTATGCCATCGCCAACCTGCTCTTACCTCCTGGAGAGACAGCCTGCAAGCAGAGCTAGGGAGAGGAGTAGTCTTTTCCAGAAGGCCTGGCACCTGCCCCACCCAGGTTCAGCCTATGGAAGCTGCCAGCCCCTGGGCAACAGCCTGCAGCTCTGCCCAGACCAGACCTCAGAGGCTCCAGGAGGGACCGTCTCGGGGGGTGGGGCAGCCCTGCCCTGTCTCCTCTCTAGAAAGCATCTGGCCCGTGTTGGTGGGCCCTCCAGGGACCCTGAGGCCTCCCAGCAAGCGGGGGCGGGGCAGCCTCCAGCCAGGTCCCTGCTTTCCCAGGAGGACGGGCCCAGCCAAGAGGCGCCTGTGGGGAGGAGCAGCTCTGCAGGAGAGACTGCTGACATCAGTTCTCATCTGTCCTTGCCTGGCATCCAGGCCACTCACTGAATATTCCTCGAGGGAATGAGTCAGTGGGAAAGCTCACACCATCCAGACGCCTGGTTTCTGGGCCACCAGTGACTGCCGGTGTCCTCTCTGGGTGTCGGGAGGACGCCCTTCTCTGCCCCAGGCTCTGGTCTCATGCGCCCCCCCGCCAGGGGTTTTAGGGGTTCCGGCTGGGGCTGCCCACCCCCTGCCCCAGGCGCCACCCATGGGCCAAGTAGGGGGAGGCAGGTGGCTGGGGCGCACACAAGATGCACGTTCCTCGGGCAACTACCAGTCACAACAGGTGTGTAAGTGCACAGAGCAAGCGGCTGGGTCCCGAAAGCCTCCAGAACACTTTAATGCTGAAGCGTGGAAGCTCTCCACGTAGCAAGACATCTGACGCGTGGACGGTCTTCACGTAGCAAAGGCCCCATCTACACCTGCAGGGCCTCGCCGCAGCGCCAGACAGTGGAGGGAGTCCCCTGCGGGCCTCCCCGGCCACCCGCCCGGACGGCCCAGGGCCTGGCCACAGGCTCACCCTTACCGCAGCTCTGCGTGGTCCAGGGTGTGACCAGGCCTGCCCCTCGGGCCGACGGCGTCTCCTCCAGCCACAGGGAGCAGCAGGTGGGGTCCGGTGGGATCGGCACCCCGTGTGAGCTGGGGACACGCAAACACACTTGTGAGCAGGATGGGGCCACAAACATCCTAAGGTAGGGGCAGCTTGTGGGAGGGGTCTGGGGTCCCTTGGCCCACAGAGCTCTCAGACGTGTATGGTGTCCGAGGTGGGACCCAAGGGCCAAAGGCCTATGAGGGACAGGCCTGTGGCCAGAGGGCCAGGAGGGCAGGGTGAGCAGGTGGGGCCTGGAGATGCCGATATCCGCAGTGTCCCGGGCTTGGGGCTCTGCGCTCAGACGCAGGAGGACCAGCTATCACCCATGCAGGCTTGGCTTCCATGGTCACCGGGGATCTGGGGCCAGGATCAGAGCGCACTCTGCCCCAAGGCCACGCTGGCCCTGGTGTGCCAAGCTTGGATCAGCAGTGTGCACGGCGGCCTCACTTCATGTCCCTATGTAGGCCACATAGCTGTCCCTTCTGGCACGCAGCCACCCAGGGCCCACTGAGTGACCAAAGATGCCGGCCATACCTGTGACTATGGAGACTGGGCATGGGGGACTTGGCCCTTCTCCAGCAGCCTGCAGGGTCCCGCAGTCCACAGGCATTTGTCCAGCACCTGCTGTGTGCCCAGTGCCCACCGCCCAGACCCCGCCCCCAAAGCTCACGTCTTGCAGGGGAGATGACAAGTGTTCCAGAAAGAGGGTCAGCCCTGGGGCTGAGAGATGCTGAGGGGCAGCAGAGGGGTCCCGATGACCTGGGGGCACTCGCCCGGGCAGGGAGAGGAGGGACCAGGTAACCCCAGGGCCTGCCCTGGGCTCCCTTGTGCTCCTCCTTCCCAGTCCTGAACTTTGGGTGCCAGCCTTGCTGAGCAGATCAGGAGGCGGCGGAGAGGAGCCATGTCCTCGAAGCCTTAAAGGAACGCCATCCATAAACCAGTGTCCCCTCAATTACTCAGAGCAGGCTCAGCAAACATTTCCCATAAACAGCCAAATGGAAAATATTTACACCCCGTGGGCCACGTGATCTCCACCTCTGTGGACAGGACTGGGCTTGGCCTGCCACGGTCCCTGGCAAGCAGCCACTCCCGTTATGCAAAAGTGGGTGTGGGCATGTGCTGATAAAACTTTATTTACAAACATGGCTGGTGGGCAGGAGGGCAGGGGTCAGGGCTGTGGCTCACTGACCCCTGATCTAGACTTCCCAGGGTAGTGGTCCTCCGATTCCAGTGTGCCCCCAAATCACTGGAGGACTTGTGAAAACACTGGTCACTGCCCACCCCCAGTGCATCAGATTCAGGGGGGCTGGGTGGGCCAGGGACCCCGCGTTTCTGACGAGCTCTCAGGGAACTGTCAGAGAGCCACTGGACAGGAGACAGGAGGAGTGGGGGACCCGTGGGCTCAAGCCCAGGCTCTTGCCTGGACCTTGGCTGCTCTCCCACGAGCTCGTGACCGGGGCAAAGCTCTCCTCCTCTCCAAGCCTCAGTTTCCCCATTTCTAAAACGAGAGAGAGAACACGTCTCCCGCAGTGCTAAAAGCTGTGGGAGTTCCAGGGGCCCCCAACCCCACCCCTACCCTTCCTTCCAGAGACGCTGGGGTGGATGGGGCCCAACCCGGCGTCCTCACTAGACGATGGTGGTGACAAGCTGGTCCCCATGTGGCACTGAATGCCGTGGTTCCAGCACGGAAAAGATGGGGTAGAGGATCCACCCCAAGACAGAAGCTGGCCTTGAAGAGGGCTGTGGCTTTCCTCCTTGGGCATGGGCAGTGGCTGAGATGACCAGGGGCCCGGCCGCAGAGCCGTGGCCCATGAAGCAGTGAGCGGAGGCTGCTGCTTTAGAAAGCACAGCCGGGGCCTGCTCCCCGAGCTCCAGGGCACTGGGGCACCTCGGAACACCTTGTGATGACTTCCACCTCTGCCTGGGCCTGGTCCTGGGTATGGGGGAGGGGCAGTGCCCGCCAGCTGGGAGGGCCACAGGCTGAAATGCCTGGGTGTGAGGGGATGTCTGGTGGGACTGCCCCTCTGCTCTGAGACCGCCTGGGCCTGGGCCCCGGGCCTTGCTGGCCATTGGCGGCAGCAGCATGCACAGATGCAGGGTGTCCACCGCGGATTCTCCCCGCCCCGCAGCCCTCTCCAAGGGCTGGAAAAAAGCGGGCATGTACGCAAGAAAGCCCAATGCTGCCCCCTACTGGCGGCAACAGTCCAGTCCCAGCAGAGGGGCTGAGGCTGGACTGCAGGTGGGATGGGGGCCAAGTGAGACTCACTGCCCACTGGTGAGGGCACAGGGCTTCAGGAAGGCAGGGTGGGCGGGGAACCCTGGGGCCATGGGCGGGAGAGGCATGTGGGCAAGGAAACGCCCCAGGGGAGGCCCAGGGGTGGAGGGGTGCTCCGGCAAACCAACCCTTTAAGGTGGATGCATCACTCCCCACTTCCTGCAGAAGACTCAGGCTGGTAGGGGCGTGTGTTCACCCAAGGTCGACAGCTTGAAGGCAGACCTGGGGTTCGCACTGGCCCCCTGGGGCCCCCTGGGGCAGCCCCGCTGGGGGGGTGTCAGGCTTCCTCTCCCCTGGGAGGCAGCCTTCGCAGTTTCTAGTTCTTGCTCCACAGCTGCCCCGACCACAGTCTCCGTCCCCACCTTTAGCTCCCTGTTAATAACTCTACACCACAAGCCAGGTGCCGAGCCAGGACGGGCCAGGCAAGGGGGTGCGGGACCCCTGGCATCCCTCCCACGTGTTCCCAGTGGGCTCTGGCGGGTATGGATGGACAAGGCCACCTCCCTGGAGACTGACCACCAGCCTGTCCCCCTCCAGGGCCCCCGTACCCTCAGCTCTGAGCCGTCAAGCCTGGGGTCCCCGAGGAGGTGGGAGAGGGCTACCTAGGGAAGGACTGCCTGGGACCGGGCTGCGGACCACTGCCCAGGTCGCCTGGGTCTCAGGGCAGACAGGTGAGAGGGGCCAAGGTTGGATGGAGAACTTCTGGTGCCATGTGGTATGCCAGGGAGGAGAGCCGGGGGCGGGGAGGGTTGGGGACCAGGAGGGCGCCGTTGGCCACTGAGGAAGGCAGGACGGGGCCCCTGGTGTCAGGAGACACCAGACAGGCGGGCGGGCGATGGGGCTGGAGGAATGGTTCTTAGGGTGGCGACGGGAGTCCTTCAGGAGTGGGCCGAGCATATTTGTGAACCCCGAAGACATCAGCCGCTCAGAGAAGGTCACACTTCGGCAAGGAAGCAGCTCCCTGCACAGAGGCTGGGCCGGGGCAGGAAGCACCCCGAGGGTGAGTCAGCACTGAGAGGGGTGGGGGCACAGGGCAGGGACACTGGTTACTGGGGGGAATGGGCTGGAGGACAGAGAGGACAAGAAGGAACAGCAATTGGACCACTGGTGCCCCAGACCGGCCATCTGTATGCAATTGGACCCAGTGTCCCTGGGGAAGGGACATGTGTGAAGTGGCCCCTAGAGAAGGCCACAGCCAGCGCGGGGGATGGAAGCTGCAGGAAGGTGCAGTGTCTGGACGGGTGGCCCTGAGAACTCAGACCTGGACGAAGGACCTGGATGGAGGACCGTCCACATCAGTGTCACCTGGGTGCAGTCAGCCTGCCAGTCACACAATGACACAGGAACGCATGGCCGACAGTGTGTCTCCGGGGCCCAGAGCCGGTGCAGGGAGCATGTCCCAGAGACTGCTCACTGGTCCGCGGGCCTTTGCGTCAGGGGCCCACTGCACATGGCACCACCAGAAGCATCTGAGAGGCACTGTGTGAGGTGGCCGCCCACCCCACCTGGCCAGCATCGGAGCCCACACCGTGGACCAGGGCCGTGCCGCTCCCTTGCCGGGCCTGGACGCACTCCGACTCCTGGCCTTGGCCAGTGCGGCTGTGCCCTGGGCACAGAAGGGGCAGCCCCCACGGCTCGCGACACAGCCCGACGCGCACGGCACTCGTGGCTTACCTCCCTGTGAAGGGGCTGAGGGCTCGGAATGAAGCCACATTTCTCGCCAGCCTCCTGTCCAGCTCCGAACAGCCATCCTCCATGAAACCTTCGGAGAGATGGAGCCGGGACCTCACCTCCCAGGCATCAGCCCAAGGGGAGGGGCTGCCGGTCCGTGGGGAGCGAGGGAGGGGCGCCCGCCCCACAGCAAGAGGGCCGTGGCCTCAGTGCCTCGTCCAGGCACCCGGCGGCTCTCTTGCCCGTCCTCTCCTCGGGAAGTGAGGCAGGGTGGCGTCGGGCACATTAGCCTCAGGACCAGGCCACACCCCTCCTCCAGCCAGGGACAAGTGACAACAACTGCAGCTGATAAAAAATTGTTCCAGGATTGTCACCTACGTCACTGGCCCAACTGGCCTGAACAACACCAGAAGCATTGTCATTGTATCTCCCTTTATGGAGAAGAAACCGAGCAGCATGGAGAAAGCAGGATTCCAGTCCCCTCGGCCCCCACAGGGCTGGTGGGACCCTGTGGCCCAAGTGTGGCCTTACCTGGGGGCTTGCTGGCGAGGGGGCTGCTTGGGCTCACGCTCTGCCACGGCTCCCAGGCAGAGCTCCACAGGGGCGTCTCGCCGTCCAGCAGGCAGGTGGGAGACAGCAGCGTCCCTGCCCGCGCATCTGCCCAGCCCCAGGGCGCCCCTCCGCCCCCGTTAGGCACCAAGGCTCCGGAGCAAGCTGGGGCTGCAGGCGCAATGCTGGGGCACGAGGGCGGGGGGTCCAAGCCCAGGTCCCCGAGGGTGTCCGCTGTCTCAGACTGGAGCAGCTTGGCGGTCAGGGTGTCGATCCGCTGCTTCAGGATGTTGGCCATGGTCTCCAGGGCCTGCAGCCGCGCATGCTTGTACCGGAAGTGCAGGGGCCCCGGTGTGCCCAGGCGCTCAGCCTCCTCAGGGTCCAGATAGATGCACAGCCCCGGGCGCTGGGAGCGCGAGCGCGTGGGCACGCTCAGGTCCCTGAGCCTCAGCGGGCCCTGGGAGGAGCCGGCAGACGTCAGCAGGGGGGCGCCATCCCAGCCTTCCTGGGGGGCTCCTGTGTCCAGGGTCTCAGCATGGTTCAAGGCTCTGTTCAGGCACAGGCAGAAGCTGCGGGGAGAGGGAGCAGAGAGTCAGGCCTGCGCCACCGTCTCCAGCACGAGTGGGACCTGCATGTGTGCAGGGAAGAACGTAGCGGCAGCTTCTGGGACAGACCCGCGCCTGCTCGCGGTGTCTGCTGGTGAGCGGTGGCTGCTCACAGAGCATCCACGTGACTGCACACGGCTGCCAGAAGGAGCGAGGACGGGGTTTCTGGGGTATGATGCCAAAAGCACAGGCAACGAAAAAAACAGACCAATCGGAACTCCTCAAAACTTCTGAGCGTCAAAGGCACAAACGACAGGGTAAAAAGGCAACCTATGGAAATGTTTACAAATCCTACGTCTCAAGGGTCCCCCAACTCCGGCCTGTTAGGAACCAGGCCGCACAGCAGGAGGTGAGCGGCAGGCAAGCAAAGCTTCACCTGTATTCGTCACCCCTCCCCAGCGCCAGCATCACCGCCTCAGCTCCGCCTCAGACCGTCAGGCACTAGATTCTCATAGGAGCACCGGTCCCTGGTGCCACAGAGGTTAGGGACCGCTGCTTTACCCCATAAGAGTTGAAATCCAGAACGTATAAAGAATACTTACAACTCAACTACAACAAAAAACAAATAATTTTTAAAAAGGCAAAGAACTTGAACAAACGATTCTCCAAAGGTATAACGGGGCAGCCCGTGAGCACACAGACTAAACATCGCCGCTCAGTTACGAAACGCAACAGGAAACCGCAGCGAGACAGCACCTCACGTCGGGAAGGTGGCCGCTGCTGGAGAGGAAAGACAAGGCTCCGACGAGGATGCGGAGAAATCGGAGCCAGCGGCGCCAAGTGCTGCCGCCCAGATGCGCCCTGCGTGGAAGCGCCTGAAAAGGTGGGTACGGAACCACCGCGTGACCGGCAGCCCTGCTCCCGGGGCCACCCCGCGGGGGCGGACGAGAGCGGGGTCTCCCGGCGAGGCCGGCACACCCACGTTCATGGCATCACCACTCCCAGCAGCCAAGGGGTGGACTGTCACTCAGCCTTGAAAGGTAGTCCTGACACTGGCCACGGCATGGATGGACCTCGAGGACACAGTGCTCAGTGAAATGAGCCAGTCACAGAAGGACACGTCCCGTGGGACCCCACTCATGGGAGGTCCCCAGAGGGATCAGATCCAGAGACAGGAAGTAGGTGGTGGGGCCGGGGCTGGGGGTGAGAGTTTAACGAGGACAGAGTTCCACTTTGGGAAGAGAAAGTCCTGGAGGTGATGGCGGTGACGGCCATGCACAGTGTGACTGTTCTGGATGCCACCGAGCTGTGCACGTGCACCCGGTGGAGATACAATGTTATGCGTATTTTACTATAATTCTTAAAACGTGGAACAGGAAGTGCACAGTGAAGCAGGGTGGAGGGCCACAGCCTCCTGCGCCCGCCGGGAGAGGCCTTGGGGACCAGCTGCCCTGGCAACACTAGAATGGCAGCCGTGAAAACAAGACGAAAAAAGCAGAATACGCATGGCCGAGGACAGAGAAGCGGGCGCCCCGCACTGCCAGTGCAGGGGCTCGGCCACCGCCAAACACAGGTGGCACCACTCCGGGAGTCACGCGTGGCATCACCGTGGGACCAGGCACCGCTCCCACCCCCCGCAGGTGTCTACCCGGGGCTCACACGGTCCACAGCAGCACCAGTGACAGTGGCAAAGGGAGAAGGCCCCGATGTCCTTCAGCTGCCCGCGGATGAGCCCACTGTGGCCCATCCACACAGCAGCACGCTGTCTGGCCCTAAGGGGGAGTGAAGTCCTGACACAGGCTAGGACGGGGCCGAACCTGGAGCACGTGCCCAGTGAGAGAAGCAGGACGCCAAAGGCCACGGGTCACAGGATTCCACCTGTGTGCAGTGTCGGGGACAGAGGAAAAGCAGACTGGGGACAGCGGGGGACGGGCTTTCCTTTTGGGTGACGAAACGTTTTGGAACGAGATGGAGGTGCTCCCTGCCGCTCAGGAGCGCTGTGAGCTGGGGAACCGTGTGAGGTGGAGGCGTCACCTCCGTGAAGCCTGTACCTGCATACGCACCTGCCCGGGGCCTCCTGGTCCCCCAGCACCATGCCGGAAGTCACCTTGCTCCACTGCAGCACGGGCGACCCCAGGCTCCCCGGGGCCTCCAGGCCCTACACAGAGAACGACCCAGTCAGAGCCCCAGCCAGCGCCAGAAGACCCCGACACAGTCCCTCAGCCTCGCAACTGGCCCTGGCCTCCCCGGGGGTCTCGGGCTGGACCCCTCGGGGCCGCCTCTTTAGGGGCTGGGACAGAAGCAGCTAGGTCCCTCCAGAGCCCAGTCACAGCCAGCGCAGCAGGCATCTGGGACTCCGGAGAGTGGGGGCAGTGGCTGAGCGGGGCAGCACCCCGTCCGCCGCTGGTGCGTACCCTGCACTGTGCAGAATGTGGGACAAAGGTCACGATGCCGGGGTTCGTCTGGGAGACCACGGGGAAGGCTTTCTTGGGGACCACCTTGCCAGAGGCGGCTTTGCCCAGGACAGCCTCCCTCTGCTTCCTGTGCACGTCCCGCAGCCTCTGGCTCCGCAGCTCCACGGCCTGCAGGGCGGCGGCCTTCTCCTCCAGGGCCTGCTGCCGCCGTGCCCGCGCCTTCTGGCGCATGAACTCCCGCAGGGACTCGGAGCTGTAGGGGTGGCCCAGGAAGCCCCGGGGCTTCGGGCAGGGAGGCGGCCGCCGGGCCTCATTCTCCTTCCCAGGGGCGTTCCGGGGGGCAGCCTGGGCGGGTCGCGGCCAGCTGTGCTTCGCTCCGGAGGGAGGCAGGAGGGAGCCTCTGCTCTTGCACGGGATGCCGGCCCTCTGCGTGAAGGAGGCGCTGCTCCAGGGCCGCTGGGTGGAGGAGCTCCGCCTTTCCAGAGAGTTCCATGATGGTCCGGCAGGGCCACCCCATTCTTCACAGGTGGCCCGGGTCCTCTGGCCAGCCAAGGCGCTCCAGGGCCGCAGAGGGAAGGGGGCCGGCCTTTCGTGGGGGCTCCCAGGCCTCTGGAAAGAGGAGTCCCGTGCCTGGGCCGACCAGGCCCTCTGCGGGTAGGACTCCCACCGGGCCAAGGTGCTCCAGCGTGGCCTGGAGGGCAAGACCCCAGCCCTCTCCCAGGAGGAGCGCGGCCCCTCGGTTGTGGCCCGAGGACTGCTGGAGGAGCCCCGCACGCCGGGGACACTCCAAGGGCCCTGGTGCCCCCTCCCTGTCAGGTCCCGCAGCCGGTGCTGATGCCCACCCCTGACGTGGCGGTCTCGGGCCAACTCTAGCCCTGTCTGGATTTGCTGGCGGAGTTCTCGAAGGATGGCCATAGCAGACTGGATGGTCACGTGTTGGTCGCAGGAAGCCCAGTGGGGCGTGCTGGCAGGCATGTGCAGGTCACCACGGACGGAGGCTGGACTGGGCGTCCGGGCACGAACTGGGGTGCTCTCAGGGGCTCCAGCCTCGTCATCACAGGCAGTCGCAGCAGCAGCGGGACCTGCGGGGAGTCACAGGGGCAGCAGGACCTGCCCTCAGGGGCCCCTGCTCCGGTCCCGGGGAGCCCCCGCCCCCTTGGTCTCTGCACTCGTCATCAACTCCAGCAGCCCTCAGGGGGCCTGTGCCACATCTGGGTGACTCGGGACTGCCTGGGCACCCAGAGAAAACTGGGCACAAATCGGGGCACGGGTTCTACTGGAGGCGCCTCTGCCATTCTCTAAGTTGGCAAAGCCGGGCCGGCCGGGCCCCAGCTCCCGGGAGCCAAAAGTGTGCCTTTCAGGGACAGAAACAGGGTCGTTTCCCAGAGATCGCTGGCCGATGGCAGGTTCGCAGGGCACTTGACAGGTCACTGGGGCAGAGGTGCCGCTCCCGCATCTCGATGCCACCTCCTCCCCAGGTGGCGTGGGGACCGAGATGCGCCCCCTTGGTGCCCACCCCCGGAAGCCGTGGCAGAGCAGGGTGCAGCCCGAGGTGGAGGCACAAGGTACCTAATTCTGCACTTGGGGCCAGGCCTCTTGGGGACACCTCGCTCTGGAGCCTGGGGCGGGCCGGCGGGGGCCCAAGCAGCTCCCTCGCCAGAGCTGCTCCTTTCCTCCAGGCGTGAACACCGACCAACTCAGAATCTTAAACAGAGAAAACGCATGGCCGGTGCCGGGGCCCCCTGAACGCCAGCCGGGGTGGGGCGGTCGGCGGCTCCACGCAGTCAGACCAGTCCTCAAGCTCCCGAGGGGCTCACGGTGAAATCCACGGTGTCCGCCACCAGGCAGCGAGGGGCAGGACTGGGTCCCCAAATGGCCTGACATCTCCGACCCTCAGTCTCCTCAGTAAACAGTAAGAAAATCCGCTGTGTGCGGCTTTGTCTGCAAAACCGCAGCCCAGGCCCAGGCTCAGTAAATGCTGGCCGATGACCACGACGGAACTGACACAAGCCTCCGGCCAGCAGGGCGAGCGGGAGGGCGATGCCGGAGCTGGTTGTTGGCACTGAGCCGAGTAAATTAATCTGGTGAGACTCAGTGGCAGCAGGGGTGGGGGATCAATGCAGACAACCAGGCAGGCATGACGAGGGGTCCCAGGGACTACATCCCAAACACAAACTTTCTTTAACAAGCGTTGCCACACGGTAAACATCATTTATCAAGGTTTTACTTCATAATCTCAGGTCACATTCACCAAATGCCAATAGCAGCCCCAGTCATCACAAACCCAGCCACAGGGGCCCTGACGGGGACAGAAAGCAGCGGCCAGCCTTTAACGCAGTCACACACACATAGACACGCTCAGAGATGCACACTCGCACACATACACAGAGACACATGCACACTCACATGCACAGAGATATAGTAACATACAGAGACAGACACACATGCAGACACACAGAGACATGCACAGATGCATAGACACGCACACAGACATGCATAGACACACACATAAACAGAAACAGACACGTGCACAGACACACGGACATGCACACACAGACACACATGCACACAGACACATGTGCACACACGAACATGAAGATGCACACTCACATGCAGAGACACAGTGACACACAGACACACATGCACAGACACACGACATGCACACACAGACACACATGCACACAGACACGCACATGCACACAGAGACACACACAGACACACACGGGCCGAGCCTCCCCCAGGGGCCAGCCCAGGTCGGCCTCCCACGGAGAGGGCGTCTCTGCCCAGCAACGCTCCTTTACCGCAAAGACCATCCAGAGCTGACTGCCGTGGGCCAGATGGGCTCAGGGTCTCGCCAGCACACACAGCCCCTAGACCTGGCTCCTTTCTCCTGAGGGCCCAGACCCAGAAACCTCAGCCAGGAAGGGGAGGGGCCGCATAGAGCCACACCCCCAGAGGCAATGCCCCCAGGAAGGACACCGGGGCCACACCCAGCCCACACCCTCTTTGGGACAGGACCCCAAGACCCTGCCCTCTTTAAGTCACGCCCTTTGTAAAGCCATACTCCTCGAGGACCTGTCCCCCAGGGCTTTGTCCTCCATAAGCCATGCCCCAACAGGACCGGACTGGGAGGCTAGTTCCCTCTAGGACCCTTACCCACCCCTCCAGGGCCATGCCTTCCAGCCCCAGGCCCCTGGGGACAGCTTGGTCTGAGGAGTCCCAGACCTGGCTTTAAATTCTGGCTCTGCACATCACTAGCTACAGGACATGGGCGAGTGATTTAAGCTCTCCGTGCCTCAGTTTCCCCATCCGTAAGCACCTCCTCACAGAGCCACACGAATGAAAGCTGTGCCACTGCAGGAGCTGGGCCGGGTGGGGTCAGCATCTGCCGGCTCAGGGCAGAGGCCAGGACTGCCCACCAGGCCACAACTGCATTTTGGGCAGGACCAGCCGGGTGGGTTTCCTGTCCTGGCCCCTGTAGCTGCCCAGAGCCGGTCACACTGGCCCCCTCTGCTGGGGCACGGGGTAGGGCCAGCGGGGAGGGGGCTACTGTTGGCCAGACCCCACTGGGGCCCCCACCACAGGCCCCTCCTCCACTGGCACTCAGCTCCGCCATTAGCCCACCAGAGGGTCCAGGTCAATAAATGGGTCCTGGAGGGCACATTTTTTCCTCTACTGAGCAGTTTAATGGCAATTAATTTTTTTACGAGAGGATTTTTAATCTGCGGAAATGGATGAAGTCCCCAAGTGCCCTGTCAGAGTTCCAGGGCCGACCTACTCTATGATAAAAAATGCAAAGTGAGGTGATATAATCTGAAATTAAATATTGGGCTTCATTTTCCTCCAGCCGGATGAATGAATATTTTATAACTATTGTGATTTAATTTTTTGTTAACTACAGCAAATTTCTAATTCATCCAATTCCCAAGTCCTGTGACTCTGACCTTTGAGCCCACACTCATCTCTCCTTAGCCAGCTGTGACTTAGTCACTGACAGAAACTAATGGTCAGCACCATCAGGGTGACACGGCGGTTACGATGATGAATGCGGCCCGTGGCACGCCCTTTGACCCGGTGTCAGGCAGAAAGCAGGTCATTTTTCAACTGAGCCGTTAAAATAAAACAAACCCAAAAGCCAAGGAAGGGGACAGACAATGATGCAAAAATTGTTGTATTTTGTGCATTTTCAGTGGGCCTTCCAGAACCTTCTCCATGTCTCCCAGCATCCCTCACTTCCCGGTTAGAGTGGAAGGTTCTTTCTCTCTCCCAAGTCTCCTCTCCCGGCTGAAGAAACATGTCTGCCCAGTGACCCGCCCAAGCCGCCTCACCTCAAACAGGGCCACGCAAGCGAGGCATGGAGCAGGAAGTGTGGTGACACGCGCACACACCGCCCAGGCCCCGTCAGGACCGTCATCTCGTGCCAGGGGGCCAACCGAGGCACAGGGATGCACGGAGCAGCTCGGACGCTGCACCCCAGCGCTGTGCAGTCTTAGACTGAGGGTCCCGCAGAGCCGGCCTCGGTCCCGGTGAGTAGGGTTCTCCCCACCTGGGGGGCTCTCAGTGGTGTCCCCAAGCCCCATGGTACAGCGGTCCGGGGGCCAGGCCCGGAGGGTGGCCTTGAAGAGGTGCTAGAGGTGGTTCCGGGGGCGCGCAGCCAGGTCCTCTCAGGTGAGGGCACGGGCCCCACGCTGGCTCGCCTGTGTGGCCCCGGGGTGTACCTTCCTGAGCCTCAGTTTCCCCCTCCACGAAATGGGAGCAAGCGCCCCGCCACCCCCCGCCGTTGAGTTGTGAGGATCACGGGGCTGCTGTCCCAACAGTGCGCGGCACACGCCGAGCTCGGCCACGGCCACTCACCCGACCGCCAAGAACGTTCCCTGCCCCCTCCGTCCCATGCACCCACACGCAGCCTGAGAGCAGGGTCCCCTCTCCGGTTCAGGCCACAGGCTCCACAAGCCACGCCCGGGCTGGCAGCGGCTCAGCAAGCCCTCTGTGACCGCCGGCCCACCACCACCGAGGCCGCTTAGCAAAACTCTCCCGCCATCGCACGAGTGCTTCGGGGACTGCTCCAAGTCCCCAAAGGGCTTGGCCTTTCGTGCCCAAGGCCTTCCTCACCCCAAACGCCCAGGGACGCTGCCCAAGGCTTTACTCACCCTCGCATCCTGGGGCTCTAAACCCCAAACCAGGCAGACAGGGCAGGCGACTCCCTCAGCCCGACCTCCTGCGACAGCCCGCCAGACGGTGCCGCGCAACCACAGCAGACACACGGCCGCCCAGGCCCCGCGCGCGCCACCGCCC